TTATTTAACCGAACGATATTCATTTTAGGGCAAATTTATCCATATTATAACTGAAACTATATGTCGTTTATAAGATATTACAATCCTTTTGCTTTTAAATTAATAAATAAGAAACACCCTCGGTCTGTAGCCCTAGGCTGAAAAGTGGTTTTGCGCAACTCATCAGATCGTGCGCTTTGAGTGGCGCCACCGTCGTTGTAATCAAACTGTAGTCGTTAGTTTTAAAACATTTTTTAATAATATTTCTAATGGTGATTGAACCATGAAACTTTTTATGTAGCGTAATTATAACCTAAATTAACTGAAAATAATGCTAGAACCTAGAGTAAACTCTCCCTTTAATTCTTACCATTGTATCTTGTAATTTAATAACTTTAGGTAGGTAACTTACTTGCACTAATGATAAGGTGCTTGGAAGCTCATGTTGTTGATATATCTGTTATCAATGTACCGTCTTTATATTAATAAATAAATAAATAAATAACTTGTAATTGTATCATTCCCTCTTGCTTGATGAAGACTTTTCATAGCACTCGATCATCTGAGCGTGATCATTGCTTTGGATCAAGCATAGTTTGAGACCACCACAATATGTTTTCGCTCAATTGCTTCACGTGCCATCTTCAAAGGATTTCTTTAAAATTTATGTTGAGTTTCTTTGTTTCTGTTATTCTGTATTGGAATTCTGCCCCTTCCTCTTTAGTTAATTGCAAATTTGAGGCTTGTTCGACTGCGATCCGCAGTGTGGATCTGTCTATTTGATCAGCTTTGTTTCTTTCTGTCTTCGATATGTAAAATAACGATACTATAAAATAATCAATGCAAGTGTTTAAAAATGTTGATTTGTATGCTATTAAAAAGGCACAAAGGGTCGTTGTCATATCAGGTACTACATATATGTACCCGAGGTAGTTTTAGGTTGTTTAGTATTATGTTTATATTTTTATATGAGGTATGTTTAGGGTTGGGGTTAGGGTTAGAGTACACTTGTGTAGTACAAGTCTGGTACACTTTGTGTATACATATATGTACCTCGGGTATATATATGTAGTACCTGATACTACAACGACCCCTTCAGCATTAATAAGTGTGCTTGTTGTACTCCTGTCTAAAATGCTTTCCACGGGAATGCGTCTGTAACTATATATGAAGAAAGTCGGCGGGAAATGGGGATATGGACTATTGGACTATATGGACTATTGGACTATTGGACTATATGGACTAGGATATTAATGATATCATCGAATATGGGTCATTTCAATAATTCATTCTTTTTGCAACCCAGGGTATGACTTAAATCTAATGTTTGGATTTATTCCAGGTATATTCGAAGTACATACTATGTAATATATACGTAGACATAAATTGAATTTTTATGCTTTCAGATACTTATGTTATGCTTGTGTTACTTATGAGGGAAGTATCCTGTAAAAGATCAATGGTGATTGAATTAAATAGCAAGTAAGCATGCGTATTTCATCTTATAATTATGAATGTTGATTCCTTACATAACTTGGTATTTATTCAGCACTATATATTGTGTCAATGAATTATATGCGATGTTTGTAGTCATTTTTCTTTGTTTTTCTTTGTGCTTGGCATTGACATATAGTCTACATTTAATGGTCTGTATCGTATACGTTTCTCGTTTTGACACAGATTTATCCAGCCCGAAGTTAGAAATGAAGGATCATGGCTAATAGAAGTAAGTCATGTCACCATAATTATATATATACAATGAAATGTACGGAACATATCCAGTTCTGGCTGATTTTATCTAGGTGTGATTAATTTCTGTTGACGAATAAGGCGTAAATTTCAGAAATCAACAGCCTTGAGTTTTCATCATATAAACTTGATTGCATTGGGAAATGTGACCCACTTGGATGGTTTGTAACATGTAAGCTGCCTGTCAATATGCCAGTTTCCATAAAATGACTCCTAATAGTACCTGAATTATCAAAAGATGATTTGGTTAAAGGGAGATTCCCTCGAACTTTCCACGTAAATTTGTGTAACAAACCACTGTAAAAACGTCAGTGAATAACTGATAGTCTTTAACTGAACGTTAGCTTTGAAAATAAAACTGTAAAAATATGTATCACTAGCGGGATACCCGGCGTTGCCCGGGGAAATCAGTGGGTACTCAGTTGGTGACCGCACTTGGTTGAAAGCGAAATACCAAAGAAAATCGACTATCTATCTATCCATTGCGATAGCAGTCCATCATCATCCTAGTCTATACTGCGGTGCATGGGCCATTGGACATTGCCAGTTCATGTCCCGAGTCGCAATCCTATTCCTCTACCCAGGCCTGCCATGCATTTACAGATTGCCATCCCATGGGCCCATCCCATTGCAACTGATCCCATCCAGTATGGTATCTATCCCATGTCCACATGGTCTCATGCGCATGCAGCCTCCATCCCAATCCCGATCGCATTTGCCTCGCGAGGGATTTTACCCAGTCAGGTATCCTGGCGAGAACGAATGGAGGTTAAGAAAATAATGGCAGATGAACCAAGTTCAGATAAGAAGAATAAAGTCAATTAAATAAATAAGTCAAGTTACAATAAAAAAAGTCAAATATAATAAAATAATGAAATTATATAAAATATAATTAATATTTGATATGTACAACTGACATAGGCTTTACCGTGATGTGTTCTCGTCAAGTTTGCGCTATCATTATATTACCATAGTTTTATTCGTGGATTTTACCTAAATAGTCTACTAGCCCCCCTATGTGTTCTTCATTGAGTGATGAGAGACATGTGGCTAACTATAAGGGTTTTATGTTGAAATGCAATATAACAGGTCATAAGGACTCAGAACTGCCGGATGCTAATTTGACACATGTGTAGCATTTTTGCTAATTGGCCGGCCCTAATTAGCATATTAATTAGGTCAAATCACTAAAATCCACAGAAGATCTTCTTAGGTAATGCACATAGAGACTTCATTCGATGTGTCTAGACATGTTTTCGACACTAAAAAGCAATTGAATCTGACATAGGATTCAAACCCCTACCATCCTTCCGATGCCCCAGAAATCAATATGGCCTGCTGCATAATTGAGGTAAACCGTTAACATCACCATACTCAGCAACTGTTGGAGACAGAGGACTTCTGTTGATGTTTTTAGACCCATGTTTCTTAACACCAAGGATTCCATCGTCCTTATGAGGACTTTATATTATTTAACAGATAAGTATATTATTATATATAAATGTTAAATATATATGATGCAGCTAAGATATTGGAATACTAGATGAACACCCAACACCATCAAACTCATTACTATTCCGCCTTACGTCTTCATTGGTTGCTGTCTATTTTCTGCCAGTCTCCAGATCTCTTCTCCTCTCCTTCTTGCTTTCATATCCTTTCTTTCAGCATCAATCTCCGTTGTGTCAGTGAGTTACAACACTTTCATTTCCTCCTTCACCACAAGTAGCAGGTACATTGACAATCCAGTTTGCTGACCACACCACATTCATGCCTGCAGGCCATTCCCCATCTGCTCGGCAGCTGCAGCTATATGACGTCCTCCCACCCTGAGGTTTTGCGTGCGGTAGGTTCTTATTGACAGCAACTAGTACACTTCATTCATTTAAAACAAAGAATACTATCCCATCATTTAGTTAGTGATTTAGGACAGGCCAGGTCAGGCCGTCATCCTTCGTCCGCAGCCTTCCATAGCCCATCATTCTGGAGATGTGCCTCTCCGGATTATGGAATCCGCAGGTTGATGGTCGCTGTGCTTGGTGGAAGGGACTTCACGGATGGAGGATTCTTCGCTGCCGATAAATCTCGTACCTTGGAAGCATTCATTGACGTGCTTTTCTTTCTGGCATATAAATGTAGGAAGAAGGCTTTGCAGTTGCCATTCATGTCACTGTCAAGTGACATGTCCTCTCCAACGAAACTGAGTCTAGGTCCAGCAATATCAGTCTGGTTGAGCACTTTCAGGCGGACATTTCCTTTTCCCATTGAGGATAGGACACAGTGTCACAGCCTGAGAGTGCGTTGCATTTCCCAATATTCCTTGATTTCATCCACAAGCCTTCGTGACAGTGGCATTGATGTCAAGGACGGATCACCACACTTCTCCATCTTGAACATGACATGATACTCCATCCTTTCCAGCACGCAGTACACGCAGGCCAGCACGAATACATCTGGTCATCCACTAAGGATGGCGCACAGTATCCGAGCTCCGGCCGATGCAGCACGAGGCATGTGTAGCTGATGAGAGATATGATTCATGCCTTCATAATGATGCCCAATTACTGTTGGCTTGGCTCACAGTTCAGCTTGCTACCAATAATCAAAAAGTATCAAGTGAAAAACAAAAATTGTCTGATGACCTGGAAACGGTATTCGCCCAGTTCTCCTGATCGCTTGGACAGAAAGAGTTAACCTATGGTTGTCTGCTGTCTTCCATCATTGAGCTGGCCTTGTTCCTCCATCACTCATCGACGAGTTATGGATTTCTCACGAAATGGAAACAAGTCAGCTACTAGTTAAACATCTCGGCGTCATCATAAGGAACCCTCCTCCCCCTTGACACTCTGTGCGTGGCGCCTCTCAGCTACCTGCTTACCACATTGTCTGGCATCCTCGGGCTACAGGTGGGTGATCTTGCTGAAGGAATGACAAATCCACGCCTCATCAACTACAGAGGGGCAGACAACTTATGTCATCTACGATGCGGCATGAAGGTATCAGTGCAAAGGATCACGAGAGGCAGAGGGAGAGCGGGAAGGACATCCACTGCAATTCAATGACTCTGAAACTCAACCACTTAGTGGCGACTTGATGCCATTCATGAACAAACTAAGAACAACCAACAGGCAGCTCTGCACAACTACTCTGCACACAGATCTTCGGTAGCACCATTGAAGCTTGTGAGCAAGCCAACAGTATTGTGCACATCATGGATGAAGCAGACATATCTCCTCATCAGCTACATGCTTCGTGTTGCATCGGCCGCGAGCTCGGACTTAGTGCGCATCCTTAGTCGATGACACAGTATGTATTCGTATCTGCTCGCTGTTACTGGGCTGAAGGATTGGGTATCATGCCATGTTCAGATGTAGAAGTGGATGATCCGTGCTTGACATCAATGCCACTGTCACCAAGCTCGGGGGAGAAATGCAAGCGGAATATTGGAATAGCCACGCAACTCTCAGGCCCTGTTGACACTGTGTTCTATCCTATGGGAAGGGAAAGTGTCCGCCCTGAAAGTGCTCAAACAGCACTTGATGATTGCTGAATAACTCAGTTCTTGGGAAGAGAAACGATGTCACTGACAGTGAACCTGGATTGGCAACTGGCAAAGCGCCTTCTTCCTACATTTATATGGCCAGAAGAAAAGCACCGTCAATGAATGCTTTCCAGGCTACGAGATTCTATCGCCAAGCGAAAAAGATTCCTACCATCCAGTTGAAGTCCTTACACCAACAGACAATTCAACCTGGGGATTCCATAATCCGGAGAGGCACATCTCCAAATGATGCTGGTGCGAAGGCTGCGGACCAAGGGATGACCCTCCTGCTGTCCAAATCACTAAACTATGGATGGCGAAGTTACTGTTTAAATGATGAAGTGGTCCAGTGCTGTCCAAAGACCCCTACCGCCACCAAAAACCTCATGAGACGTCATTAGCTGACAGCTGCGAAGCAAGAGAGGAATGGACCTGCAGCGGGAAGTAGTGGTTGTGCCATGCAAATTGGATTGTCACTGCTACCTGCTGAACTGTGTGTGTAAGCGAGGAAATTGAAGTGTTGTAACTCACTGGACACAACGAGGGGGGGGGGGGGGGGGGGGGGGCGGCGGGTGATGATGTCCTGAAGGAAGGATATGAAGAGCAGAAGGAAGGAGAAGCATGATCTGGAGACTGGAGAGAAATGATCACAACCATGAAGACGAAGGCCGAATAGTATGATAGTTTGATGGCGTGTTGGGTAGTTCATCTATGGTAATTCCATGACATCTAGCCTGCATCAATAATATTTAACTGTTTCAGATATAATTAATAACTTACTGTTAAATATATCGTCCTATAGACGATGGAATCCTTTGGGTGTTAAGAACATGGGCTCTAAACATCAAAACAAAGTCTCCTGTCTTTCCAACAGTTTGCACTGAGTTTATGGTGATGTTTACGGTTTTACCTCACTATGCATGGCAGGCCATATTGGATTTTCTGGCAGTCGGGTAAGGATGTTGCGGGTTTGAATCCATGTTCAGAATCAATTGCCTTAGTGTCGAAAACATGGGTCTAGACACACGGAATGAAGTCTACTATGTGCATTACTAAGGAATTCATATTCTTCGATTTTAGTGATATTGACCTAATTAATATGCTAATTAGGCCGATTATGCAAAATGCTACACATGTGCAAATTAGCATCCGGCAGTTTCTGAGTCCTTATGACCTGTATATTGCATTTCCAACATAAAACCTTATAGTACTCGACATTTCTAGGTTCACTAGGCTGGCTAGTAGACTAAAACGTTTAAATGTGGTAAAAAAAATTTAATTTAGAAATTAACGGTGAATACAGCAGAAGTACATACTAAACAGTCCAAAAGTAAAGAAACAAAGCATTCCTGAGGTGGGATTCGAACCCAGAATCAAGACCCAATCAATGGTTTAGGAGTCAGTTTCGGCTACTGGTCCGTTATGGTTATACACCATGGATTCACACGTACGTGAAGTATAATGTTAATCTGTAACGCCATCTATTGATGAATAGAATTTTTATAAATTTTTAACTTTTTAACTTTTTTGAAATTTTATATTTGAAAATATATTTAGTTTTCCTCTAGGCTGCGGAGTTCTCTAGTTATGCGCGAACACAAAAATTCGGCTGAACAACTTTATATATATAGAAGAAGCCTATATTTGCTCATCGAAGAAGCAACTCGAAAAACGCTTTTCGCTGCGGTTCCGTAGGCGCCATATTGTTTATATTTGAGCAACCATCATTTCAATCGAGTCAATGTAGCCACTTTCAGATATCATAACTTTTAATATAAATCATTTTATGAAACCAAACTTTGTAGTCTAGACAGAGAGACACCTCAACTGTTTATGTTATTAATTTCAGAATTTTTACCGTAACCGTTTTCGAGATAGAACGTGCTAAAAACCCAACAAAACGTAATCCGAACTAACAGCGACTCGCTCTCTCGCTCGCTCAGAATACTATAATCTCCAAGCAACAAAAACGTTGCCATTTCCCTATCACTATCAGCTAGCCATGCATGTACATGACCAGAAAAACCATTGGGTCATAACATGCCAGTGTGTATAATTTTACATAGCATGGTTCATACATACATAACACGGCAAGTGTGTGGAGCGGAACAAGGCAACGGTAAACGCGTTTTAAATATCGGTGCAAAAGCTCTTAGCTTATGTTAATATAATAATGTTCATTATATACCGATGAAAATAAATTTTTACTTGACCCGAACGTTTGACTTTGTAGTCTAAAAGCTTTGAATGAACGTATTCCTGAGCAATTTTTTTTCACCTATCACATATATATAGGCGTGCAATGTTAAAATAATTCATCTTTGCCTGATTTTATGTTTGCCGCTTGAAAGTTCGAGGGAATCTCTCTTTAATGTTCATTGTATTTTTGCTGCCCGTTAAAGCTATGTCTCCACACACGCGGCACGACACGACACAGCAAAACGCAGCACCGTTGTGCTGAAAAAAAACCATTGTGATTTCGCGCATTGTATCTGAGCGCATTGTGCTCACTCTGGTTCAGTGATCAGAAATTATGCATGTGCTTGTTGTCCATTGGCTGATGGTGGCGTGAGCAGAACACGTGATAAAAAACAATCGCATTGATTGGTTCAACTGTCTTTCTCCGTACACGGCAGCCGGCAAAAGTCAAATTCATTCGACTTTCGCCGTCGCCGTGAAACCGGACTGGCGCCGTGTCGTGTCAGTGGAGACTGCGCCATAAGATATAATAGATTTGAACTTTGCCGGTAGGGGTGAACGACGCCGTTTCCGTGGCATTCCGTGCCGCGCCGCGTATGTGGAGACAGGCCTTAAGTTGTTCTCATGTATAATTTTAGATGTACAAACTAGTAAGAATTTATTTTACAGTTCTATGCACCATGGTGTGGTCACTGCAAGCAATTTTCTACAACGTATGAGCACATAGCTGATCGACTCCATGGCAGTCCAATAAAGGTTGCCAAAGTAGACGCTACAAAATACACAGATGTGGCAAAGGAATTTGGTATCAGTGGCTTTCCAACTGTAATACTGTATGTAACATAATCAAATTTTTGACCAATTTAATTATGATAAAATGTAATTAAATATAATTAGGTTCCATAGAATGAAAAAGGAGAAAAATAGTCTGAAAATTGTTAGTTTCACATGTTTGAATTGAGATTATAACTGAGCTTGCAGAAAAGAAGAAAAATAATTCAGTCAAATCATCAGGTTATTCATGTGTCCATCAACAGTGCTAAGTTAGTATTGGCAGGAACATCTATGGCCATAGTCTCTCTGTGCATAAGTATATAAATGGTCTGGTTAGGTGCTATAGCAGATATATATATATAATATATACAGGGGTAGAAATGAATTTTAGAACACGGGAGTCCAACGGACTCCCTACCCTCAAAAAGAGGGAGTCCGCAGCAAAATGAGGGAGTCCGCAGTCTGGGGTTCAGAATGAAAGATATTAACAATAACGCGTGTGCTTATTTTTAAGATTTATGCAGTTGCACGTCTGCCAAATTTTCTTTGGACATTAGCTGAAAAAATACAGTAATTCTGCGAGGCCGTGCTCCGGAACCAACTAGTTAGTATGGCAGAATTTTCAGGGAGTCACACGCAGGGTTCTCCCTACGTTGCGCAAACCGGGCGCTCCCGCCCCGTTTGGGAAAACTCCCCCCACGTTTCAATCGTTGCGCCCTGTTTAAATTACCTCCACCCCGATTAAATTCCACCGCAATAAAAGTTTGACAGCGCGGAATCGATCGGCAAGAATTCCCATTCGACCAGGCCCCCGGACTCGTGTATTTTTACGGTACCACTAATGAGTAAACGTACTACACTACGAATGCACTGCAGACCACACACAAGTACAAACAGTCACTCTGCCCCAAACCCTAACACAAAGTTACAAACTGTACCGACTCGGCTGTCTTATATACAACTACCCAAAATACCGTCTATGGTGTGGTGGCAATTTTACACATTAAGCTATAACACAGTAAATGAACAAGAAACGTGCGCCCGCTATCTTCATATTCGCGATAATGAAATATTGATATGCGATATTGATATGTTCAAACGGTTCGACGAAACGAGCGCACGTAGTTACGTAACGCAAATATTTATATATTGGTTAATTGGTACCTTCCTCGAAATGTATACAAAGGTAATTAACCTAGTGTGGCGACAGCGTTCTGGTCTCACGAGAGGAAAAGTCACGCGCTAGGTATGTTGACATAAACAGTCTCATTTGAAATGCAGATCGATGCACGTATTGGTGGAAAGAATGTTGCGCGGGTGTTCTGTGACATGTTAGCCTATTATATATTTGATGTTATGCAAGGAGCACCGGTAAGTATCAGAAAGGTCGAGAAAATATTTTAAAAAACGGTTGGTAAAAACATGAGAAATCCTCGCTCTACAGATAGCTTCCTAAAACTGCAGGGCTAAGAAAAACAGCATTGTGCGGTGTCATTCTAACATAACAGAAGTAGAAAAGCGATCATGATGGGATATTTTTGAATCTCCAGACATAGATTTATGAGCCAAAACTTCTAATTTTCCTTTTAGTGAAGTCTGGTTAAGAATACGTGCACATAGACGCGGCGGTAGACAGTGCGCGGCCGAAGCATTGACGGTATATCTTTTAATGACCTGCACGTCGAGGTTATCACTAATGTGTGGTCATCTACTTGAGGCGCACCTGGTGTGAATCATGTCCGTTTTGTTCGAAAACGCTATAAGACCTGGCCGACTCGCTGCAAGGAACGCGCTGACGAGCGATGCGCGTCGTTATAGAACGATGTGTAGACACCACTTCGAAAAGGCACGAGGAATAAAAGTAACGCAATTTTAAATTGAAACAATACTTCTTGGAATAAAAACAAAACACTTTCATGAACAGCAAACACTGGAAGTAAAATGAAAAATTCGGTATAGGCGTATTACTTTCCAGAATCACAATACATTTAGTTACATGAGGGAAAAACGAAGAATAAATAAAAAATAGAATAAATGATAAAGAGTAAAATAGAAAAATGCATATATCTAATGCGTAGTGCTTCTGTAAATGATAATAGCCGCGTTCACACGTAGCAAGAAATCCGGTATTTAGCGTTCACACGAGGAAATGCGCGGTCCAAGAAGGACTCCCGTTAATTTTGCACCCTGTATATATATAGCTATATATATAGTACAGCAGACCAGTTCTTACTGCAATGTACTCATCCTGAAGTAAACCTAGGAGTTTTAGACTGTCTGACCAACATTATCTTAAATCTATGGAGTAAAAATGAGTATAAACTGTTCTCAAATGAGTATCAATAGCGAAATGACATTGAGCATAATTGTGTTTGTTACAGTGTGAAACAGAGCAATGTCTACTTTTACCATGGAGCGCGAACAAAGCTTGATGTTATTGACTTTGCGTACAGAGCATTGGGGTATGCAAGCTACATAAAGGTTTTTTGTACTTATAGGTTAACATTAAGGTTTTCCATATTATTAGTATTACCATTTTAGATTTCCTTCTGCAACTTGCAATCGGGCTGACGAGCAATATAGACATATGTGCTGAGTAGGAAAATGCCAATGTGTCAGTCGGTTTAGTTATATCCGTTAAAGTGTTGAATATTAAATACGCACATACAGTTCATTACATTATCTCACACACTGCTATCATTGAAGGTGAGAGCTGGTTGAGGTACTCCATGTAAGTGCATTATTATTACGTGCCTCTAACTACGCCTCTAATCCTAATGCTAACTGACGTACGTTGCAGGCCAGCGCTTAGGCATTTGGACTCTGAAGACAAGCTGGAGGATGCACGGGAGAAGCACTTTGAAGGTCATTTCTTTCTTTACGTTGGGGAGGAAAATGGTGATCTCTGGGTGAGAAAAATACATTACTGTTCATAGGCATAATGCTACTCGTAAATTATAATAGAAAATCTTGAGGTACCAGTGGAAATGTTAGTGTCTGTTGCTTAACAAAAATGCCAGTGTAATCAACAATTTCTTATTTTTTTCCCTGTATCACGGCAGATCAGTCAAATTTGTGCCAGTTTATACAATTTTATAACATTTCTAACTTGTTAACCATTGAGCTTGTATATTATTTATATAATACACTCTGTGAAATCAGTTTCTGCTTACATAGTATTCACCAATGGTTGATTTAGGTCTTTAGGATACATGAAATAATAAATACAATCAATTAGTTTAACCTAACAAAACATATATAACCCCCTGCTAGTAACAAACTAAAAATGTGTAATTTCTATATTTAACAGGACACATATAGCAGCGTTGCAACGAAACGAATAGCTGATAGCTACTTCTACTACATGTCAAAAGAGAGGTTGCCTAAATCTGTGCCATTGGAATCCATTCCTACTGTGGTTGTATTTAAAGATGACAACTATTATTGGCTAAATGGTATTTACACACAGATGTACAAACATGAACACATATACAATATACCATAGGTGCAATGGGACTGATAGGGGAAATAGTATCCATTAATTGCGATTGCATGTCTGTTAAAATTGGAATGTCTATTTTGAACCTTAGTAGGAATAATTCAAAATATGGAGATTAAAGAGAATTGTTATTTTAATTGTATCAAGAACGACATTCGCAGAAAAATACAGCTTTCATTCATCATAATTAATGTCTTTGGCTGTGCACTATTACTTACTAGCAGTTATTATACAAATCTGCTATTAATTTTAGTATGTTTTTTAATGGAATAACTATTTTATTTGTAACCATAGGAATTAAAATGTAATTGGTAGGAATTAAATGTAAGTCACTTGTGCAGCAAAATGAGTTTATTAACCATAAAATTTACAATTACGGATTTACAAAGTGGGTAAAAATAAGAAACCGTTAACATTCTTTGTTCTCATGCTCTTTCTCAGAATCGAACAAGAAACCGTCATTGGATTCGCTCGACAAATGGGTCATGTCAGAAAGATTGCTCTTGTTTCCTGAGATTTTGAACGGAAATCTCCACGAGTTTACATTTCCAGGAAAGAATATAGTCATTCTTGTCATCCAGAAAAACTTGATTGGCAAAATGGTAAAGGCTGAGAGAAAGTAAGTGATTAAATGTTTAATGTCTCATGTATTATCTTGTACTTGTTTGCATTGTGATCTCAATTAAACTGTCTCATCATAATTATATTCCTTATACATCTACGTAAAAGTGTAGTTAGTTTCTAGTTCAAAAATGTGTCGTTCTTAGTATAGCTTTTGTGAAAGTCTGTTTCAATTTTTCAAAGATTGTTGGCTGGTAAGTTCAAAACTATGCACAATCTTGGTTCATCCTGGAGTCTTACATTACCATGAACTGAATGTGTCAAGATTTTTGAACGATAGTTGTTTTGATTGATCACTTTTGTGGTTTAAAGATTAATGATGAATAAGAATAATGCAAGGGTGCAAATTTATTGGGATCTACCAGGTGGGGTGGAACTATACTATCCTGGTTTTTGTTTTGATGTTAGTTCCATGTTTTATGGATCTAAATCAAGTATGTCTTTGAACCATTCAAAAGTTGTATCCATGCTATCAGTAGTGGCCTGAAATTCGGACATAAAAACTCACCTGGAATAATCTGGTTTCACAGAGTATATATATGCTACACCTGATTTTGCATTGATTTTCCTAAAATGACCTTTATTTAAATTTGTAACAATTAACACAGGTAGACTAGTGATAGATTTATTATGAGACACGAATTTAAAATAATAACAAGCAAAATAACAATTAATTACTTGATTTCAGGGTATTTGATAGAATGAACGAGATTGCAGAAAACAACAGAAAGATGCACAAAGAGTAAGTATATAATTCTTGTTAATTATTACAAATAATTTCATGATTGTATACTCTATTTATATAGGCGTTTAAGTGTTTACTTGCAATCATAGTTGTGATTGTATTTACTTTTTCGGCTGAAAGATTTCTGTAGGAACGCATCTTCAATTATATAATAGAATTAAAAACGTGATTCATGTTACATCATTTTGCATTACATTTTTTCTGGAGTGCATTTCTTGCATAACACTGGGAATTACTGTTAACTTCAATATTACATAACAGACACATACATATATATATATATATATATTTGCTACTAATGTGATTCTAATTATAATATTATATTATAACTTACAGTGCCTTCCAGTTTGGATGGGTGGATGGGTCAGAGCTTGTAAACACTATAGTGATGCATTTCGTGAACATACCTGGACTAGTTGTCCTGAACTCAAAAACGTATCAGTACTACGAGCTTCGTGGAAACCTAACAGAGATGGAGACCAATGATATTCAGTTATTCCTTGACAGCATCATTGATGGAACAGCAGTGGTGTGTAACATTTAGTTGTAATGTATGCACATTACGTGTGAGCAACAAAAAGTCGGACCACAATATTGCATAAATATAACATCTTATTTATCAAGTAATCTTTTACTTTAACCGTTTATTATAACATTTTATCTATCAAGTAATCTTTTACTTTAACCGTTTCCTTATTCGTGATAATGTGGATTTTTTATACATGGAAAGTAAAATGTAAATAGCTAAGACAGTGTAATAATTTCATTTCTTATCTTCAGGCATATGGAGGCAATTCCATTTTTCACAGAATACAAAGAATGTTTTTTGAAATTTATTCCACACTGATTGTAAGTACAGTAGTTGTTGCAAACTTATCAATATTTCATACGTCATATAAGTAAACACTGATATATACAGTCAAGAGCCCATTAACCCCTGAGCGTACAACGCTGAAATAGGAAAACCATGGTGTCGTTTCAGCAAAAATAATAAAAAAGTTTACCTACCTTATTTTGATACTTCTCTACCGGAATATTATGCAGGAGTCATAGCTAGCCAATATAAGATCAACTGCTTCTCTCTACGATGTTCCTATGCCGAGATATAAAGCGGATAAAAATCGAGTACTTCTAGGTAATCCTAGCGCCATATCACCTAGTAACACGCCTCTCGCGCGTTTAGTGACTGCATAGATATATACAACACATATGTTTAGAACATGTGTTGTATATATCTATGCAGTCACTAAACGCGCGAGAGGCGTGTTACTAGGTGATATGGCGCTAGGATTACCTAGAAGTACTAGATTTTTATCGCTTTATATCTCGGTATAGGAACATCGTAGAGACAAGCGGTTGATCTTATATTGGCTAGCTATGACTCCTGCATAATATTCCGGTAGAGAAGTATCAAAATAAGGTAGGTAAACTTGATTAATTTTGCTGAAACGACACCATGGTTTTCCTATTTCAGCGTTGTACGCTCTGGGGTTAATGGGCTCTTGATACAGTATTCTTCTAGATATTAATCTATAAAGTTCCCTTTGAGCACTTTACAATTGTGTTTCTATACTGCTCTAGTCACACTCAGTAATAAGTAAGCTACTCTAAACTACAGCCTTTGTTTGAACATGTTTGAATACATTTTGATTTTGAAAGTTACATCTATGAATTGTAAGAGCTGCAAAATTTGAAAATTACAAATGAGTATGTACTCCTTTTATAGAAAATGTTCACGCATCAGCCGCTTGTGTCTTGTGTATTGCTGGGATTACCAACCATGATTCTATCATTCATCTGTTACAACATCTGCTGTGCAGAAGTATATGACGACGAGCAAGAGGCCGAGATGGAGGATGGTATATATGATGTTCATCTGTATTTCTCTAAATAGCTATATAATTTCAGTTTTATACTCCCTTCTACTTATCAATACAAGTAGGCCAAATGTGTTAGGTCTCACAAAATAATTCCTAAAAGAAAATTTGTCTATCATGATGGTTTATAACATTTTATTCTGTATTACCGGTACTACATTTTTCATGTGTGCTTGCATGCAGATGTTTTTCTTTATGCAATAAGAACGAGAGAGAGAGCGAGAGAGAAAGAGAGAGAGAGAGAGGTTGAGAGGGGGGAGTGAGTGAGATTGAGATCTTTCATCTAATAATTTCAATCTCTGTTTTTAGAACGCCTGGAAAGGGAGGAAATATACAAGAACCACGAGAAACAAGAATGATTGTCAAACACATGGATTTGTGCAATTGTACCTTGTGATACCATTCCACATTTTTCTATCCACACAGCAGCATTACCAAAATATGTGAGGTCAAGCAAATACTGAAACAATATTTCACTAACATATGCTGGTAGCATAACCTGACATGGCCACTAAGACATGGTTGTGTAGATCCATCATTTCAGAAAGTAGATGCAAAGTCATTATAGATATTTTAATCTGATTCATTAAAATATTGGTGCTACAATTTCCTAGTCTCCCAAACAATCAAACAATTATTGCATAGGCTGCTCTTTACTTGATATCTCTCTATAATTGCATTCACAGTAGGTTCACCATGTTTTTCATAATACCTAATGTGAATACATGAAGCATTTACACCTTGGTTAATATAGAGGGTTCCGCGAATTGCACTAAAGACTTTGGTAGTAAATACATTTTGTGTTTATTTACCTTTTTTTTTATTGAGACGTTCCAAGTGCCTGTGGGTCTGCACAATCATCTCGAACTCTAGCACACCAAAACCAGCTGATAAACCTGTCTGCAAAATCGGGATCCACTTACTGCTAATATCTATTGCAATAATAACACTATAACCAATGTAAAATCGGTTGATTGTGCAGATCGGCAGATTAATATTTACACGCAACACATGTTCGCTCTTTTTGGAACCGCTATGGCCGACGGCACAGGATTGTGGGTAATATTGCTATTTTTAGTGCAAGTCGCGGAACCCTCTATAGATAGGTTACATACGAGTTGAGTCGTATATCAAAAACAGACTTTTAGAGTTAAAAATATAAAACTTGTGCCTTTGATATGTTGTTTTAAAAATTTAGGTTTGTGGATTGTTGAAATTTTGGAAACTCTTAATGAACTGCAACGTGAGGAGTGTCATATAGTAATTTTACCGTGAGATAAATGTTAGCTTTTTATCATACATAGCAGAAAAACTACCAAATACCACTTGGAGTGACCTACACAATTTAACAATAATAACACCTGGTTTTTGCAATCTATACCTTTTCTATAATGCATGCCTTGAATAGTGGTTATATGTAGCTGTTAGAATGCATAAAACCTCTGTGTCATACTTGGTGGGCAGCTAAAAACATTGTGCAGTGGTAGTATAACTTGTATTACATTTTATATTATTGAATATAAATAGATTGGATGGTATACGCAATGGACATCTAATGTGTGCATAAGAATTCATATTACCATAGGAAAGGCATTCTGTTTTCAGATTTTAAAATTTGTTATAAATAACGTTACTCAACACACAAAACTATACACAATTAAATGTAAAAAACTGCCTTGTTTACTTTATACACGTCATAAGATTGTCCGCCATGTGAATATCCGTATATAGATGACATATCACACAGTATCACGGACACGTATTCTCTATGTATAAATACACTATCATTCTCTCATAGTATTAATGCACGTTTTCTTATTTAACTAGTTTATTTATTGCATGGGTATGAGACAGTTTCCATGTACTCTGAGTGCCTGTGTGTTTAAATGTTTCATCACAACTTATCAACCATATCAAGTAGCAAACTATATATTCTGTCAAGTTGGTTTTATGTGTATGTATGTTTTCCTTCTGTAGACAGACACAATAGTGAAGTAATTTGTATGATCGTCCTAAGTACATATGTAGAAATAGTTTGACCCTTATAAATCATATGTTTTGTATGTCATTGCATTTATTTGTGCATTTTGTATTAAAAACATGGTAATAGCATCTCCTTATAGTTAAGTTGTTATATTTTTCATGATCACGCTTGAAATCTGATTTCTACAAATTTGAACGTTGAATGTGTTTTGTCATGAACCCTGGTTAATATAATTAGATTTTTTAATGGATGTGCGGTATCATGTTGCCATGATGTGGAATTAGTAATTAGTTATTTCATACGTCTAATCTTGCATCTTACCAGCTTGTCTTTATCAGTAACATGGAGCAGTACTTAAGCAGTGCAGTAAAACATTGAGTGCTAATTTTCAATTTTCATCATGAATGATACATGCTTTACATCATAAAAATCAGTATATGGGTTTTATTGTTTTGATAATATGCAAGTGACATGTAATAAATTGATAGTGACAACTGTAAAACGGGTGAGCATTTAAGGAGTTAAATTAGAATATTTTGGAAAATCGTCATACTTGCAGATGCAGCTGTAGTCCTGCAGCCACCTTGCCCCGGAATGTTCCAACCCAAGAGTGTCCCTCCTGGTCATAAAACTGCCCCTTGCCTTGTAACCTAATTAACACAATATCCGTTATTTATATCTCACAGCAATATAAATGGTAATTAATCCAGAAGAGGAAACGTACAGAACGTGACAAATGGCTTACATGCTATTGACTACGATTTTGAACCAAGAAAATACATCTATTAAAATGCAATAATCTCAACTAAGATCTAAGTATTGTTTATTAAATGAATTGTATGAGCAAATACAGTTCACTGATTATCATAAAAGGCTTTCACCTGTTTTCAACAAACTGGCCAACACAGCTCATTCCATCAGGCCAGCTATACTTTCCTGCACCGTGGAACTTGTTATTCTTGAAATGGCCTTCGTAAATTGCTCCCAATTTATGTGTATAACTTCCTTCCCCATTGAGCATATCATCTAAAAGTTGACAGTTTTATCATGTTAAAATGGCTATATCTTATATCCAGTCATGTATATTTTTAGCTCAGCTGACGAAGTCAGATGCAGCTTGTAGAATCGCATGAATGTCCGTCTGGCTGTCCGTCCGTGAGTCGACAGTTACGGCACAAATCTTAACCGCGCGACGTAAGATCTTTATATTTGGGACGTCGGGGGGTCGCGAAAATGACTAGGGATGTCGAATTTGGTGGTCACGGGTCAAAGGTCAAGATGTGTCAATGGAGGGGGAATATTTCCCCCTTAACTTAAGGTATAGGAGGTGTAATGTATTAGGTTTTAAATAGAGTAATAGTTACCGCTGTACGGTGGTGCCGCCACCCGGTTCTACCAGAGAAATAAAAGATGGATGATTATACGACAAGCTATTGAATATTAGTCCTTTACTAAGGCCGTGAGCCAGGCATAGAGCCGAGGTGCGAGGACATAACAGTGGCGGCCAGATGAGACGGGATACGTAGAAAAACGACTTGAAAATGCTATGTACATGGCCTCGTTGCGCCATCTATCGGACGCGATATGTACGAGAATAATTTCAGGGCGTGAAACGAAAAAATGAAAACTCGCTTTTCTAGACAAAAACGAAACGCGCCGAGCAGCAAACAAACAATTGCGACCATTTCTAGGAAATGTCTAGCTACGTGCGTAGTGAAAAGGCTTGTGGAATCGCCACAACTGCTCAATTGAGCGATTATACGGCTTTGTCCTCTACCCAAAGGGACCTGAGGAAGGTGTTCTAAACAGTGCAGCGAATTCGATTTAATTTGCCGCTACGCGGCGTTTTTACGCTTCGCGCGGATATCCGGCTGCAGATCGTCGAGGTAGTTAAAGTCTTGGAGAGTTGTTTGATGCATAATGGCAGCCATAAGTTTGGAAATTGGAGCCGTAAGGCCGTTCGATATGACCGGCCATGCTTCCAAGTTGGGACCACGCTGGGCCAAATGGAAGAAATCGTTCCAGTATTTTCTCGGCACAAAAGCGGTGGTAAATGCGCCACAAAAACGGGCATTGTTGCTGCACAGTGGGGCCAGAAGTACAAGAACTGTTTGACACTTTGCCAGACCCTGGTCCAGGCCCAACCAGAGTAGATGCGGACTGGAGGCAAATCCCGGAGGCACCACGTGTGTATACACCTTTTTTTATTGGATGGATACTTTATCACTAAGGTGAATGAGCCCTATGAAAGACATGTTTTCCGTGGATTGTCTCAGGATTCTGGGGAGACTGTGGATAAATTTGTGTCACGTCTTCATGCCCAGGCAAAGTTCTGTAACTTCCCGAATGTTGACGAGGAAATTCGGGATCAGTCGATTGAAAAGTGTTCTTCAGCTAAACTGAGGCGAAAATGTCTTGAGCAAGACAGACTGACATTAGCCAGAGCTTGTGAGTTGGAGCGTGCATATGAAGCTGTAGACTATCAGATGAAGTCAATGGGTAGTAGTGAGGCCACGAGTAGTGAAAATGGAACCATTCAGTTTCAGTCAGCCATGAAAAGTTCAGCGCACAAGGGTGGCTATGGTAAGCCATCCAAGTTCAAAAAGGGAAATCGTCGACCTAGTGCAGACGGGGCTAGGCACTCTAGTGGAAGTAGTCGACCAAATCGGAATGACGAGTGTTATCGTTGTGGAAAACGGGGTCATTTTGGTTGAGACCCAACTTGTCCAGCCAAATCGGTGGAATGTCGAAAATGTGGGCGCATTGGGCACTTCGAAAAAGTGTGCCATTCAAAATCGTCGATTAAATACATTGAAGAAATGGAGGAATCGGTACTCGGAATGTATTCGATGGAATCGGGAATATCGAAAGGCTTCAAAGTTGTTCTTCAATGCGGTGGCAAGAATTTGCCCATGAAAGTTGATACCGGAGCCAGTGTTTCGATTTTGCCCAAAACCGTGTACGTCCGTGATTTTGTGCATACATCAAAGCTGCAACTCAAAGTATACGGAGGTGGTAAACTGTCCGTTTGTGGTGAGATGTCAGCAGAAGTGGTGCATAATGATCAGAAAGTTGTGTTTCCATTAGTTGTAGTGGAACAGTCCAGACCTGGTTGGCTTGGTAGGAATTGGCTCGGTAGCTTGAAGTTCAATTGGGCCAATATCTTTAGTGTAGAGCTGCAACCCAACCCCATTAGGTTGAAGGAGGGGGCACAGCCTATCTTTCACAAAGCTCGACCTGTGCCGTATGCAGTGAAGCCGGAAATTGACAAGGAACTGGACAGGTTAGAGTCAGAGGGAGTGATTAGGAAGGTTGAGAGGAGTGATTGGGCATCGCCGATAGTATGTGTGCCTAAGAAAGATGGATCGATAAGAATCTGTGGTGATTTTAAGGTGTCTGTAAACACTGTGTTGCTTGATAACCCGTACCCGTTGCCAGATATCGAGGATATGTTTGCGACTATGGGAGATGGTACCATGTTTAGTAAGATCGACCTTTCCAATGCCTATCAGCAGATGGAGCTAGATGAGGACAGTTGCCAGTATTTGACCATAAACACTCATAGGGGGCTGTACTAATATACCCGTTTGACATATGGAATCGCTTCCGCACCGAGTATGTTTCAATTCATGATGGATCAGGTGTTACAGGGACTGGACACTGTTCAGTGTAGGATTGATGATATTGCGATTCGTACCACTCCACAGGAACATTTGGCTGTAGTCAAAGAAGTGTTGGCACGACTATATAAACACGGGATTCAGGCAAAATGGGTGAAATGTGTCTTCGAGAAGCCAAGTATGGAGTACGTAGGGTACGAGGTGGACAAAGATGGCAGACATCCGCTGAAGGATAAAGTCACTGCGATTGAAAACGCTCCGCAACCGCGAAATGTTCGAGAGTTGAGATCTTATTTAGGCCTCTTGAATTTCTACGTGAACTTCATCCCAAACCTCAGCACCCTGTTACATCCATTACATGAGCTGTTGAAGCAGGAAGTAGAGTGGAATGGACTGAAAGTTGTGCTGAAGCTTTTAAGAGGAGCAAAACTGCGCTTTTAGAAAGTAACGCGTTAGTGCCGTATGATACGAAGCAAAAGCTCATACTTGCGACCGATGCTTCACCCTATGGGGTAGAAGCTGTGATTTTTCACGAGATTGATGGAGAGGAGCGACCAGTAGCATTTGCCTCCAGAACTCTCACACCTAGTGAACAGAACTATTCGCAAATTGAAAAAGAGGCTCTTGCGATCGTTTATGGAGTTCGTAAATTCCATAAATATCTCTATGGACGTCAGTGTCATCTCTTCACGGACCATCAACCGTTGGTAAAGATCTTGGGTCCCAAGACCGGTATTCCGACCTTAGCTGCTGCCCGAATGCAGCGTTGGGCAGTAATCCTACAAGCCTATCAGTATACTGTGTCTTATCGCCGATCCGAGGATAATGCAAACACAGATGCATTATCACGCCTTCTGAGCCATGAGCCGGTAAAACGCGAAGATGTTGAGGCAGCAGAGACATTCTTTTTCTCCAGCCTGGAGGAGCTGCCAGTCAGAGCAAAGGACATTGCAAAACGCACTAGTAGGGACACTGAGTTGAGCAGAGTGCATCACTACATCCAGAATGGTTGGCCTGGATATTTGAAACCTGAGAAGCTGAAACCCTATTTCTTGAGGAGAAATGAACTCTCTACCTTGCAAAATTGCATAATGTGGGGTATGCGTGTGGTCATTCCTACGGAATTTCCGACCAGGCTCCTGCAAGAATTACATGAGGGGCACCAAGGAATTGTGTCAACCAAGTCTATCGCCCGAAGTTATATGTGGTGGCCCGGATTCGATCAAGACATTGAACAGTTAATAAAGGGGTGCACCATTTGCCAAGCAGTCAGGAGGAGCCCTCCAGTGGTACCGCTGCATCCCTGGAAGTGGCCTACACGCGTGTTTCAGCGAGTGCATGTGGATTTCGCAGAGAAGACTGGGGACCATTTCTTCATACTGGTGGACAGCCACTCAAAATGAATCGAAGTAGCACACATGCGCTCGACTACAGCAGAGAAAACCATCGAGGTTTTGAGATCTTGGTTCTCACGGTATGGGCTACCCGAAACATTGTGTTCAGATAACGGACCGCAATTCATAGCAGAAGAGTTTGCGCTGTTCTTGAAACGGAATGGTGTCCGCCATATTCTTGTTCCTCCTTATCACCCAGCCTCTAACGGAGCTGCAGAGAGGTCAGTGCAAATTGTCAAGATGGCACTACTGAAGGAAATCGAGAAAGTGAAGCAAGGGGGTGAAAATCTGCCTATGGGACATCGACTGGGACATTTCTTGATTCGCTACAGGAATACAGCGGATTCCGTTACTGGACAGACACCGTCAGAACTGTTCCTTGGCCGCAGAGCACAAGTGTGCTAGTGCTAAATTTTGAAGAGCATGTAGTTGACAAACAGTGGCAGCAGAAATATCAGCATGATCGAAGCAGAGTGAAATTCCGTGAATTTGAAGCGAATGATGCTGTCAGTGTGAAAAATCATAGTGACTCTAACTCTAAGTGGTCTCTGGGAACAGTGGTGAAATGCATGGGACCAACATCCTATTTGGTTCGGGTTGGGCGAAGTTTTAGGCATGTCCATGTGGACCACCTACTCAAGTTTGAGGGCAAGAAGGGGTTAACGGAGCCAGAGAATGCTGTGTTGGAAAAGTCTGGGGAGTTTTACCATCCTGTTGGTCCTAGACTGGCCACAGTTCCAAAAGACAGTGTTGATTCTCCAATAGTGGACACTCGGCAGCCCACCGAGACTGCTATTCCTAGTCAGAACATGACCTTGATGTGGGGACACACGCTAGTTCTAATGCTAGCCCTGTTGTTCCAGAGACTCCTGTTGTTGCACTCAGGGTGTCTACCCGTATCCGCAAACCGGTAGACAAGGGACTCAATTTATGAACAGACTATAGGCCTACAGTGCCTACTGTGTTCAGTGTTGTGAAATTGATGACGGTATGGCTATTTGCCAAGTTCACGAGTTAAAGTTAGTTACCAATTCTAGTTACTCCCCTATATTTTGGAGTGTTCAAGTGTTACTGTAGTACGGTGTTTTAGCATTGAGATAGAGATATGGGGAAGTCTGACATATTACCCTGGCAACAGTTCGGGCGATGAACTCAGAAGCCATTAGCTACATAATTAAGAACACCCGTAATTCAAAATGGACAGCGGGCAGTACCGGAGCGATACAAAACACATTAACTTTAACAAGAATGCGCGAGGGGTAACAAACCCACGATCATTAAGCGGACAGCGGCCACGAAGTGTTCAAACACTCTGCGCCGATACAAGCGGCACGAGCGTCGGCGACCGGTCGTATGTGGTCACTAGTCGTGCCACGAATCAGGAAGTCTGTGAGGTCGCGACGAGTGCGCGTACGGTTTAAAAGAGAGAGGTTTTGGGAGAAACGAGAGAATCTCCGACCACCACTTGGTATGTGTATACACGTACTGTTGCTATTCGTGTTTAGAATAACCTGTAGTTGTTTACCGTTTACATCACCGTACACCTTCTATCTACGTCTACTGTCTACAAACGTATATTCAACGCTACATTACGACAAGTCAGTTTTAGGAGGAGAGAAGGAAGAAAAATGTTACGGTATTCTGTTAAAGCGGTATTTCAGAAAATAGACATTTTCATAATGGACATTTTGCCAAACGTGCAGTAGTAATTATTTTGGATAGTCTAAATGAGACATAGATCTACAAGTTTAGAGTTTGGTTGAGTTTGCAGTCTAAAAAAGGAGGAGTGTAATGTATTAGGTTTTCAATAGAGTAATATTATTTGGCTTGCAGTGGCGCCGCCCACGCGGTTCTACCAGAGAAATAAAAGATGGATGATTATACAACAAGCTATTTAATATTAGTCCTTTACTAAGGCGTGAGCCGGGCCATAGAGCCGAGGTGCGAGGACATAACAGGAGGAAATACGAAATTGTGGCACAAATCTCAACGGCTCGACCTATGCTCTTAATATTCGATGTATAGTGTGATGGGAGGAAACCATCACCAGCGCAAAATTGAGGTCAGCAGTCAAAGGCAGTGGGGGAAAGGTCAGGTATCAAAACTTTTCTGAGACATGGTCTAACGGACCGAGTGCAAAACTTTTTGTTTCAGCGCTGACCTATCATTTTTATTACTTTATTGAAAGGATTGTGAAATCTACTCTCTGCTGACGTGCGAAGAGTAAGTGTCTGATAACCTTTTGACCCTCAAGAGGAGGGTTAAACATGGATTTGTTGACTGTTAACAAAGGACTGAACTGCTTTTGCTATTAGAGCCAATAAACAACAGAAATCTAGTGTAACAAGAGTTTTAGTTTCAGTCCTATATGCAATAGACATTCTGAGTCTTATTTTATACATTTTTTAGCAAGCCACCAATTAGTGAGACTTATAATACTCTATATCACTCTTACCAATGCAATTTTCATGATACTTACTGAGCCATGTACCTTCATAGCAGATGCCAGTGGAAGCACAAGTATGCTTTCCATAACCTTGTCTCTCTATCACACCTCCATCTAGGATAACATATTCACCCTCTGGTAAACAAGAAAAGTAAACAAGCAATGTTATTATCTTGTGAGCTTATCGTGTTTGCCACTGGCTTCAAAACAGTTGCCAAAAATTCTATAAATTATATGTGTGATAGATTCTGACCATCGATTTTTAATAATATGGTGTGACTTGCATGATGCATTTGCAATCAGTCTAGTAAAGTGCAAATGTGTCAGACACCTGTCAATTCTGCATTTGTGTTTTATCTAGTCTTTGCTTACCATATTTATCACCATTTGGAAAAATGAAAATTCCAACTGTATGACTACTCTGGTTGACAGTGCTGCTATCCATGAAACTTGAAAACCTAGAAAGTCAACAAATGTGCAATCTTGAAAAATATTGCAGACACACTGATGCTATAGTAGGCCTATCACTTTGGTCTACAGAAATATTAGCCAGGTTTCCTTAGCTATTATTGCCTGGAAACGTCAGTTTACTTCAAAAAATTATGTTTGGTGCACTGAACGTTGGATACGCGTGAAATTTTCGTCATTCAAACTGGTAGACAAGGAGAGAAGTAAATGAAGAGAAAACAGAGAGGGAATTAAGAAGCCAGAGGTCTGAGGAATGTAGAAGTGAGTATAAGTGATACGGCCGAGTTAGAGAAGCTGGAAAATGATGAGAAGGTTGAATTAACAAAAAAGACTATATGAATGGGGAGGAGGAAAGGTGGATAAAGGATAACTAATTTGGGATTCACATGGGGGAAGTGAAAATAAAACTAGAGGCACAGTGGAAGTGTGGTGCATTAGGTTGATATGCTGCCTCTTCTACAGCTATCTCAAAATCCTATCCAACTCGGTCCTCTAGCTCTCTAACACATCCACTTCCTATATATATATTATATATATATATACACTCCTTTTCTATCCCACTATCAAACTTCTTGTCCACATTAAATTTTATCTACCTCCTCCTATCTTTCCTACCTTTATCACTACAATGCATGTATGCAGGATGCGGATGTGCCCTTGGTACACTTAACCCCACTTTTCCTGCCGCGTTTGAAGCATCGATCTAGTCGTCCTCTAAATTTACTTGTAAACTTCACCTCAACAGTTTACCCATCGGTAACTTGGTCCCATCAGTTTTACCCAGCAACAGTTCCTCCTTTACACGTCTTCAGGGGCGGCGCCAGGGTATTTTGATAGGGGGGCGAGGACGTTCGTTGCACTTGCTCAACGCAGTGGGGTGTATGAGGGTGTGTCCCGCCCCTATCGAAGCTGTGGGAATTCTCTCGGAAAAAGGGCAGCAGGGAAGATTTGCCGTTGCCGATTTGGTGCAACTTTGAAGGCAAATTTCCCCTCAATTTGCAAAGAAAAATGGCATTAAGGGACAGAAAGCAAAAGCTAAATATAAGATAAAAAGGCCTCACGTTCGAGCCGTAACCAGCCGGCTCAAGTGGCTTTTTTCTTTGTTTCTTTCTTCCTTCTTCCCAATCCGATTCTTGCACATGATAGGGGGGGGGCGACTCCCCCAAGGTATGGTTGTGCCCCCTCTGGCGCCGCCCTGCACGTCCCTTGGCTTGCCTTTACAATATACAGTTCCTAAGTTGGTACCTGCGAAACCTAGCAGATGACCAGACTGAAGAAACTGACGTCAGTATAAACACTTTCTTTCGACGTTATCGAATTATGACAATTTTTTGGAGCTTGTACTCTGTCCAAACAACACCTCTCTTACAAAATTGTCGAATGTTCGCATTCTCCCGCCTAGTTTCCGCTGGTGTTCTAGTTATCATTACCTTGTTTACCCGACTGTGGAAAGATCCTTTAATAAGTAATGACCAGGCCCGTTAGCCCAGCTTTACATTGGGGGATTTCGTTTTGAATGTTGGGATTTGATGAGGGCGCGAAGCGACCGACAGCGAGGAGCAATAGCGACAGAGGCGGGGGGTAGGTGTGTCGGAATTGAGATGTGTGCATTATTACACCTAAAATGGAGGCTGACTGGTGCATACCTGAGGTGAAATTCTTGCAAATTTTCAAATGGAAAACTTTCTATTTTTTTTGCTTGGTGGGCTTGGGGGGGGGGGTCGTGCGAGACCCCCCCGAACCCCCCCTGCTATCGGGGCCTGAATGACGCCAGTGTAAGCTTTTCTGCCTAGTTGCATTTACTCCATGTGGTATTCAGTGGAAATGTATGGCAAACTGTTTTGGGGGAGGGGGCGTAGGGGGTGTGTTAATTTACTGTTAGACACACTTTCTTTATACATTCTACACAGCCCTCTTTGCATCGTAGGATTATATATGCCTGAGCCATGGCCTGTGCCGTCCGTTCGTCATAAAACAGGGTACATTGTACTAGGGCCTGGGGCCTCGTAACTCCGGCTGCCCTCCTCACCTAAGTGAGGAGGCCTCCCCACTCATGTTGCTCCACATCACAACGTGTACCTGTCCCCAGAGACTAACGAATACACGTACCTCTCCTACCCACAGGCACTTGGAGCATATGGTCAATAAAATCATAATGCTAATAAATACGCACAATCTATCTACATACCGAAAGTCTTAATGTTTCCTCGTACTCTCTTTCACGCTATTATTGCCGACGAATTTCCTGTAAATGGCCGTCCAATACATGCTGCAATGTGGCAACAAACCACTGGCGGCCGCACATTGCTCCGCTGCACACTGACACTTATAATATATAGTTAAGTGTACTTAATAATTCTACTATATATTATAAGTGTAGATTGCAGGCGGGAGCAATGGCGGCCGCCAGTGTTTGTGCACATGAGCAATTTGGACATTTACAGAATGTCGGTAGAAG